CCTGCTTGGTGCTGCACCAAACAGACAAAACTTTGAAGGCAGTTATTTTCTCAAGTGGGCGTCTATTGCACCCACCGAGTACTGTGTTACCTATCTGCCTTCGGACTGCCCGAGCTAGACCTACTAAAATCCTCAGGGCAGTCACTTTTCCCAAAAACGTATTATGTTCCAATCCACACCAATGAGTCACGCTCTTTTTAATTTAGACTTAGTGTCGCGAATATCCGAGTTCGGACCTGTTTTGTATTAGTCTGGTTCTTTTTGAAAGGCAAGTTACCAGTGCAGTCACTGATACCTAGCCTGTGTATTAATAATCTAATACCTCTCGCTTTTTAGTCTTTCTTTCGTTTACCTAAGTCCTTAATAAAATAATACCCCTCCGGATTGGCACAAATAGGACCCTTCTGACTTTGAAAAATTTCGACCCCTCCGGATTGGGAGCCCTTAGCTCTGTCAAAGTAGCTTTTCGTAGTTTTCTTAATTTCAGCTTATACCCCTCCGGATACGTTCTGCGTTGCTTTTATGCTGTTTAAATTAACTGGGAAGGGTATAGGGTCCTTTCCTAGACCCCTCCGGATTGAAGTTAAGGCACTTATTTGACAATTCACACTAACGGCGAAGGGTCTTATCACTTGCCTAATTTCGACTCTACTATGGTTGTCTTGTGCCTTCAGCCCTCCCTTTTTGTCTAGAACTGTCCTAAGTTACTTAGTTCAATCGCTATCAACTTTTGGTAGAGGTATAAGGGTTTTTCAGAAAAATTTATAAAACGTGAAGGGTGTACCCCTCCGGATTTGTTTAATTTGCTAAAAACAATCTCAAAAAATTTTCTCGCTCGCTTTTTCGAGTAATTCTCTTTCCTACTAGTAAGTTCAGCTAATTTCTGATCTAATGGTACCAAGATTGACTCGATATCCTCTGTAGTTCCAAAGTTATTAACCAAAACGTCTTTTTTCCAAACTCAAAAATTTTCTCTCTTATAGGTTCCGCCTAACTTTTTCCGCAAATCTGGTCCTTTCGACCTAAAAATTATTGATCTGAGCTCAGAAGGCCTATACTCTTCTAGTTCAATGCAAAAGACCCGATCTAAATCGCTTTTGTAGAAAAAATTTGCGAAAAACTATGCTACCTGGACCCCTCCGGATTGATGAATCCACCAAATCAAACACGTTATGTTCGATTTCTCTGCAACCCGGAAGGCTTTCGGGTAGCGGGTTTTAAAACTCGTAGATTCACTAGTGGACGTTGTCCGAACAACTATTTTTACTGTCCTAACTCAAAGATTTCAAAAAATTTTCTGATTTTATAGTGCTTCTTACTATCAAAAAATGGGAAAATTTGGTTTTTGGTACCAAACTAGTTCCAACCACTTCCGAACTGAAGTTAAACGGTTCTCCTTATTACAGTAGTGCAGTTACGATGTAACACACTAACTTAGCGCTTTTTTCCGTTTCAAAAAAAATCGATATCTCAAAAATCGCGACTTGTGGGGGATCAAAATATCGCTATTTTGACCCTAAAAACCGGTCTGTTTTCGTTGTTTTTCACTGAAAAACGATATAAGACTATTAATTTAGGCTATATAAGTAATAATATTAGCAATACTATACCCCTCCGGGTTTGTTTATTATCCGAATTAAGGTGCTTAACTCGGATATTCGCAGTTCGGTGAAGGGTCACTACAGTGCAGCACTGTCGAGCCCCCCACAGATTACTATCTTACTTTTTGTACCAAAAGGGATACAAAACTTGTTAACGATACCCAACAGTCGATTGTTGTTGTCGTTGAGCCCCTTCTTGTTGCTCCTTGTACTGCTTGCCGGATCGGTCTTCACCCAGGACCCTTCCGAATTGAGCGCAAATCAGCTGACCCTTCCGGAATGAGCGCAATTTATCATTAACGTGCTTAAATGCTCAAATAACCCTACAGTACAAGCCTCACAAACGGGCTACAAAACTGATCGTAACGATCCTGACTGATATAATTGCCTGTAACAACAATATATCTATCAACAACAAACGGGGGGGTTGAATCACATCTTGTCTGGGGGGATGATTTCTACTGATTTTTTACTTTTTTACTGTTTTTGGTTTTTTCGGTTATTTTTTTATGTTTTTTGTTTTTCTTGGGTACTATACTACTTTTTGTTTGGTTTTACTTATATCTTTAAGTGTTTTTGGTCACCAACCACTCAGGGGGCGAGGGGACGGCCGATCCCCCCACCCTTCCTGGTTCGTGAATTTTCGGTCTTAACTAGGTTAAAAAACTATTCACGGCAATCCGGAAGGCCTCCGCGTTCCGAACTACCCTTCCGCCCCGGCGGTTTAGGCCTATTAAGGGCGTTGATGTGAGCATCCGCTCGGCGCGGAGTGCTCGTTAACGGTTCTGCCGGTCATGATGTTAAAAAAGAATAGCACCCAGGAGCGCCATAAAAACATACATGTAACATTCGCCCGGAAGATACATATCGACGGATAACAAAACTAAGTCTTAGGACGACTGGCTAGCGTCTAAACAGAGCTTTGCATGTTTTTCACCGTCTCTACCAAGCCAGTACTTTTCGGTGGTCTTTCTTACATCGGGTCGACAAAAACGTTACTGTTCTCCGGCTTCGACCAGAACGCTCAAATTAACTGAATTACATGCAAAAATAGTGAGCTCATGGCTGGGTCTCAGTATCCCCAGACCACGAGGTCACTCCTAAAAACAGGGCTACTATTTATTATATTACTATTGTTTTTGTTCAGTAGATAAAAATCATCATCTCCATCGAAGATAGATCAACCCTTTCCCCCCCCCAACTCTTAGCACCTCATCCTTGTCAAAACTAATCCAAATATCAATTAAATTCAAGTCAGGACATGACAGGATGCTAAAAGTTCATCTGAGTCAATAAAAGTTTTCCGTCCCGAGACCCTTCCGAATTCTTGAATCCGGTGAATCAAGCTCCTTAAGTTCGATTTCACGATAACACGGAAGGCTGATTTCTTACCCTTCACCGTTGTTCGCAACGGCCTTGCAACTATTGTAGCAGCACAATAGTTGCAACTCGGAAAGTTCTCTGCACTCTGCTGCTGTTTTTCTTCAATTTCGACTTCTTCAATTTCAATAGAGTTGTCCTCGTCAGCGCAACTAACGTTGTTGTTCTGTTTCCTCTCTCGTTTTTTGTTAAAATGGCCGTTTCAGCATTTCTCGGAAATGTGACGTCATCATTCGAATTTTTGAAATTTTAAAATACTAGAATATTCCAGCCTTCACCGTTTGGCTAAACGTTCCAATAACGCCCTTAGTTCATAAAAACCACCAATCCGGAAGGTTTACTGCTAAAATTCCGAATTCTGCAGAGATTGCATTTTTCACATTCTGGTCGAATGTCACACAAATACAAGACATAATACAAGACTATCTAACAGATAGAATGCAGTTTGTGAAAATCAATAAAAGTTCATCAACTCTGAAAGAAGTAACTAGCGGTGTACCACAGGGCTCAATTCTTGGCCCTCTACTTTTTATCATATTCATTAACGACTTTCCCAAATGCATTGAGAATTCAGATTGTTTTAACTATTGTGACGATATGAAGATCTTGTCTACTGAAGAAATTCATCTGCAAAAAGACACGGCAAATGTTGAAAAATGGTGCAAAGAAAATAAAATGCCGCTGAATGAAGATAAATGTAATTTGTTAAACCTCAAAGGGAAAATGGAAGTTACACTATTTAATACAAATGTTGATACCGCAAAGACCCAAAAAGACTTAGGTATTTTAATGTGTGACAACTTTTCGTGGTCAGTAAATGCTGAAAATCGCATATCAAAAGCAATGGGAGCTTTTTACAAAATCAAACGAAATATCTCGAAAAAAACATCATTAAAGTCAAAATTAAACTTATACTGCGGATACATCGTACCAATCATAAGCTATGCATCGCAAACATGGTATCCGAACAAAGCAGAATTAAGACAACTAGAAAGAGTACAAAAACGAGCGACATCTTGGATTACAAATAACTTCAAAATGAGTTATACTGAAAGACTGAAATTTTTAAAGCTCCTTCCACTCTCAATGTACTTTGAATTACACGACATATTGTACTTAGTTTCACTACTAAAAAATAAACATGACATTGATTTGAATACAATTATTCATAAAAACGAATCACGAACGAGACAAGCAACACGTGGTGAGATTGCTGTTCATGCAACAAGACTGAAAAAGTCAAATGAAAATTATTATATACGTTCTAATACGCTATACAACTACTTTAGCCAAATTGTGGACTTCGAAAATCAAGATTATGACAGCCTGAAAATATCTATAACAAACACGTTTTGGAAATTCTTCAACAGAAATTTTGCAGAAAACAACTTGTGTATGTGGAGAATTCTTTGCTGGTGTGGAAACTGCAACCCACCGGGAAAAATTATGAACTTATAAACGAGGGTTCAAAACCCATGGAGAAATCCTAAAGCCTACACTACTACTACTACTACTACTACTACTACTATCATTATCACTTCCATATCCAGAAAATTCCAAGGTTTTCGACTGGAATACGTGATGAAGGGACTCCTGACTGTAACCTCGGTTACTATGATACTTTTGACCTTCCGATTACCAAAAAAAATTAAAGAAAAGAATAACAGCCCGTAATTTTGGAGTGCAAAAGATATGGACTAGGATTAGAAAGAATAGACCAAGAACAAATGGTCAGAGCTAGTTACCCTCTTTAGACGTATTGAAGTTTGGCCTATAAGATGTCATAGTTTCTAAGACTAGAATCATGTCATAAACTTTCAGTTGCAATTAAAATTTTTATTTTTTCTTAGATGATCATAAAAGCTTACTACGTCTTGTCGGTTTTTGAGTTTTTGCTCAAAGTGTTAATGAACTTTTCCACATAATTTCAATTGAATCAAAACTGCTCGTCGCCGACTTGTCTTACTTCAACTTAGCTTACTTTACCTTTGTGCCAAAGCTTACGAAGATCAATTTATAGAATCAGATATGCCTGCAGCCAAAAGGAAATCAAGCTCTAAGTCTCCGCGCTCTAAAAAAGCGAAAGAGGAGGTCGCTGATGCACTAACAGAAAACGAGATAAGCATGCAAAGTGAAGATACTAGTGATGCAAAGACAGAAGATCAGACTGTAAATGGTTCAGGAGATGATTCTGTCGGAGTAACTGAAAACACTGAAGTCGCTAGTTCTAATTCAAATCACGAGGTAAAGTTTTCTAACTGTCAAACAGTAACTGGTCAAGTTTTTTCCCCTAACCACTGTTTTTTCATAGTTTTCTTTGATGTCATTAAGCGTTGCGTACATATTACTACAACCCTTCGCTTTTTGAAGTCTCTACCCAGCTAAGATCATTTCGATACATTGACCAAATTTTTCTTTTAAACTGGCACTAAGAGTTAAACTTATTGTATTGCCATTATATTCAATATTTATGCTCTTTAAGGAAACAGCACCCACTGGAAGCAATGGAACTGCTCATGTTGAAACAGAAGAAACTGCTGTGAACGTTGTAGAAACTACTGCATCTGAAAGTATTGCAGTGGCACCTGTCTCATACCAAACTCAGCAAACGACCCAGCCTGAAAACCAAGAACAGCAACAGACGATGCCAGAATACAATTCACAAAATGCAGCTTCTTATGCGGTACAAAATGCCCCAACGTACACAGGATATGATATGCAGCAGTACAATGTCACCTACCAGAATCCCTTGACTTTTGGAGCCCCAGTTGCGATGATGCAGACTCAACAGATTGTTGGCAATCCGGGCGAGGATTTCTCCCAACCGCCTCCTCCACCGCCGCCTCCGAGTGGTGACCCGGAACCGAAGCCAGAGCTTCCGCAACCAGAGGAACTGAAAGTAACGATTGAGGAAGATCATAAAATTTACGTTGCGCCGAAAAGAAGAACACTGGCTCTTAATGAGGGACTTTTAGGAGATCTGAAGAATGCGTTTAAAGAAAGCGAAATTGAAGTTGTAGAGGTGCAATGTCAACGCAGAACGTAAATTCAAAATGTTTCAATATGACTTTGTTAATTAGTTATTTTCGTCCAAGAATCACTACTGTGCTGTCAAAAAATCGCAAATAGGAATAACGAATTAGTGTAAAATTGCTAGTAATTGTTTGTTGCTTTATTTAGTCACGCTTTCCTCAAAGTAGGATCTCACAATGACGTAGAGAAAGCATGCAATGATTTTGACGACAAATTGATCTCGGGAGTCATTTGGTCAGTCAAGCGAAGAATAGGAAGAGGTAATAATTCAACTCAGTTTTTCTGAAATGATTTCAGCCAGTAGATTAAATGCAATGCGCAGAGTTCATATTATGAAATAATCAGGAATCAAACATCGTTGAAATGAATTTTAATTGAAGTAAAAATAGTGTAGCAGAATACTTTCAAAATATTTTTAAGTAGTGAAGACACTTCAAGTGATTAAGTGACAGTAAAAGTAGTGAAAAAGTAAAAATTTGATCTCGCTGAAGTATGGTTTTTCGCGATTTCTTTTTACGTTCAGTTCATTTACTTTGTTTAAAAGAAGGAAAACTCCACTATCGGACTGTAAAAGTGTAAAGGTCACAAAAAACATGAACGTTTCTAGTTTTTGAACTTTTGGATTTAAAGCTTTTTGAAATTTATCTATTGATCCAGTTTTCTTAAATTGGGTCAATTTTTATCAAAAAACGGGTCAATCAAAAGTTTTTCTTGAAATTTAAAGAGCTTTAAACTATATTTTTTGATGAGATTCTTAATCAATTTTTTTTGATTCCTTGTTCTTATACACTTTTCCAACCTTCTTTTGGCTATGTTTCATTTTTCAGCCGAGTTGCATAGCGTCTCTTTCAAGCCGAGTAATTCAGCCTTGCGAGTTGACGAGGAAATGGCACAAGAAGTTGCCAAGTATGTGAAGGACGCATCCTTCCATGTATTGAGACACTACTCCACGAGGGACGGAAAGTGAGTGCATCATTTGTATTTATAACGCATCTAAAAATAATTGTTCGTTGAGTATCTGTAAACCCATCAAAGTATTTGTGCAATTCAAATCTGTTAAAACTTCAATTTTAGTTGTCTTAAGACAAACGTTTTTTTTGTTGTTGTTTTTGTGGCCCTAAAGCATGAAAATTTGTATTTGAAGTTCAGAACTGCTAATAATCATAAATTGAATGTTTCAAGCTCTTGAACTTAGTTCAAAATCCGTAGCGAGCACATAATAAGGTAAGAAGAAGAAGATTTATTTCTCAAGAGATAATGGTTATAAACAACTAAGCACCATATATCTCAGAGGTATTTGTTGTATATTAATTTTTCGCGGTTTTACTTAAGATTTCTTTTAAGTTCAGTGCATTTCTATTGTTAAAAGGAATGCATAATCCACTATCGAACAGCAAAATGTAAAGGGCACGAAAAACGTGATAGATTTCTAATTTCGAAAATGGAAATTAATTATCAGATTTCTCAGCGAAATAAAAGTTTTACTGATTGATCCAGTTTTGTCAAAAAGTCGTTTTTTTTTCAGTTTCCATGCGTTCATTACTCTTTTCCAACTGTCAGTTGGCTATGTTTTTCATATTCTCGCAATTGAAGCTCGTATGGTTAGCTGAACATTTTGGTGAGTGAAATACGAACATAAGCATACTTATGATTGGCAAGTGTTTTTAAGTTTCAATATAAACGAAGTAACGACACTTATTTAGGTCTTGTGCAATTCGATTTCTTTTGAAGTTTTCCATTAAGCGCAAAAAAGGGATTTACTTTTTGGTTCTTGAACTTCAAAGAGCTTTATTGTGGTGCATTTTTTTGAAACGTTTTTTTTTGGGTCTCGTTTAGTTAATTGTTAATTTTTAACTTAACAAGTTGTTTGCAGGGAGGTAATAATCGGACTTGAAACCGAAGAAGAACAAGCCGACATGGTCAGTAAATTGGGCAATGTCGTCATTGGACACATCGCATACACGGTATCTGTGAAAGAGGACGTTCAACCCGAGGACTCTGACGACCCCGATTCCGAACCCTTCCTGTTTGCCTCAATCCGAGGCGACGATTCAAAGTTCTTCGATGCTAATCTAGTGGCATGTGTTAAGAAACTACTTGAAGATGAAAATATAGAATTGACGAAGTCAACTGTGACGTCGAATTGCAGATTCGCGTTTTTCTTTTTGACCAAGTGGGAAGATGCGACTAAGTTTGTGGAGAAGTATGACAACAAGATCATCAATGAGTCGCCACTGCATTTTGAGAAAGGGCAGCCCAAAAGCCAACGAGGTACACTTGATTTGGTTGTTTAAAGCCTTGTAAAATGCCTTAAAGCAGGTTCCCATGTTCGATTTTATTTCGAGAAAACGTGGCTCCATTCGAGGAATAACATTCTCGTTAACCAAAAATAAAGCTTGTTTAAGCTACCACACAAGCTCATAATTGCTTGTCTTCTTCGCTGCAAAAGTGACTATCTCTCAAACTTAGCAACTAATTTCTCGTGAAATTTCTCCAATACTCATGTACATGGCCAAATTTTTTTCTGCAGAAAATCGTCCTGCGCGATTCAACAGAGGCGGAGGAGGGGGTTACAGTGGGCCGTCACGTGGGCGAGGGGGATACTTCGATGGAGGATACAATAGACCCCCAAGGGGAGGACCCAATAGCTACTATGGGGGAGGGGGATACAACAACAGGGGAGGAGGCGGTGGATACGGGTACCAGCAGCACCCCCCTCAAATTCCCGGTCCTTATGGCTACAGTCCGTATGCTTACGGTGGAGGTAAGTCGCGTATTATTTTGAAACAATACATGAAAAATGCTCGAGAGCACATATTTAATTTTCAAAAACTTTAAGCTTCATTAACCATAATCTTTAAAGTTAGTAGTTATTGGAAAAGTTAGGAATTTTACAAGATAATTGCTTGCGAATTTCGGTTGAAAGAATGTTTGAGTATCCAAATTAATTAATCATTTTCAAGTAAACTTTACAGGCGTTTAATTTAAATAGAATTTTAGAGATGCACTTAGTTTCAAAATGTTTTTAAATGACTTTAATGAAGCTAGCGGCGCAATATTCTTAAAAAATGATGTATTTAAAAATGTGTTCTCACCGAAATAATCAAGATTTTTCAGAAATTTTAATAAATCAAATTAATGATTCAGGGAATCAAGTGCTAAAATGTAATTTATTTTCAGGAAATCAGCGTTTGTTTTTCCGCTGGTCTAAAATTTTGTTTTAAAATGTATGTAGTTTTGAGCTCTGACAAAATTCTGAATATTACAAACATTTTGATTTACAAAAATTTTTATATTACTGAAGTTAACGGCTAGTAGAACTTCAGTTTTCAACCCCCGTGGATCCTGATAGACGGTTTCTGTCGCCATGGTTAAAAGGCACAACAGAACTCATTTTCTACGTGTAAGTATTCGATATTTTGAATTGAAAACCGAATCAAATACAGATAGACATAATCTTGTATCAGGTTAGGCTAGTTGGATATGAAAAAATTATATATGCGAAATTTGGCCTGAAACTTGAAAAAAGTTTGACGCTTTGCTCATCTTGACGGTATCGATTTTGATGAACCGGTCATTCGAATCTGCCGAGTACTATTTGACTGACGTATATTTACATTTACCAGCCAATTTCATTAATTCATCATTATCCAGTGAAAAGATCCAAAATTTCTTAATGAGCCATGACAAATCTTAAGCAAAACAATAAATTGAAACATCAGTGAATGCAGAAACAGAACTCAAAAATACCAAACGTTTTCCGAATTCTAGATTTACAGGTTATGATTTAAGTGCAATAAACGATGTGTATTTTTTGTTCCATGCTCCGTTGAATCTTGAGTTTTCTCCGAACTAGCTCTAAATTAGCCTAACTCTTACTTATTTAGGTCCATAGTTAATAAGTTTTTAAGAGTCGATGAACATAGTGATGATTTTTTTCAGGAAAAATCTTAAAATTTGTTCATGCTCAAATTTAGTTTTCCGCGGTTTGACTTTTGATTTCTTTTTAAGTTCAGTTCATTTCCTTAGTTAAAAGGAAGGCAAACTCCACTATCGAACAGCAAAAGTGTAAAGTTCACGAAAAACGTGATCGACTTCTAGTTTCGAAAGTTGGTTTTTATTTTCAGACTTCATAAGCGGAATAAAAAGGTGGACATTGATCTAGGTTTCTCGAATTGGGTTAATTTTATCAAAAAAGTGTCAATTATTAATTGTTGTAAAAATTCAAAGAGCTTAAAGGCCTTCTAATTTTTTCGGAGATGCGAGATTGAGTTTTTTTCCAAATACATGTTAATATATTTTTTTCCTGTTTACTTGCGTTCAATGACGAATTCCAGCTGCCTGTGGGCTATATTTCAAGAAATAGCTGAATTTTAACTCCGCTGATATTTTTTGCGTTTTGATTTCTTTATAAGTTGATTTCAGATCCATTTGCTGAAAATAAAGCAGATGCGCCTTGCTCTTTAATAACAATTGTGCAAAGTTTTCAAAGTTGCTTTTTTTTCCTACTTCATGAGTTCATTAGCACTTCTCGCAGTCGATTTGCTATGTTCTTAGGCCTAATGGAAAAGTATTTTTATTTGGTGTAATTTTGGGTGAAAATGATAACAAAAGATAAAACTAGACTGAGACTTGCTATAACTTACTGAGAAAAAATATTTCTTAAAAAATATTTATGTCACTGAAGAAATGATGCAAAGTTTTTACTGCCTTGAAATTGCAGAAATTTAAACTCGTTTTTGAGTAGAACTCAATTAAAGCGCATAACTTTTTATTTGTTGGTAAAAAAATTAATGATTTTTTTTTTCATTTTTGAAGGGATAATTTTTAGTGGTTGATGATTTAAAGATGAGTTAAGTCAAATCATGGATGATATATGTATTTTTTACAGAAAACTTTTTTTCGAAAAGAACTACTTTATATTTTAGTTAATTGAATTGATCGTCATGTGTTGCTTATAATTCAAATTGAGGCGTTCATCTCAAATTGAATTTTATGTTATGTTAGTATTGTCGGAAATGATTTGACAGAATTTTAATAACTCCTATAGCATTAGTGAGAAATGACAAAAAATTAAAATAGACCGAGATCTGCAATACTTCACTGAAATTTTTTCGTAATGAATATTTATGTCACTCAATAAATTTTGCAAAGCTTTTAGTGCCTTAAAGTTTGCAGAAATTTGAACTCATTTTCAGAGTAGAACTAAACTAAAGCTCATAAGTTTTTGTTTATTTAAGAAATTATTAATGGGGTTTCTTTTTTTCATGTTACTGTGTTTTAAGGGGTTGATGATTGGATGATTCAAGTCCAATCATAATGATTTGAGTTGAGCGGCCCATGTTGCTTATTGTTTAAAGGCGTTCATCTCAGCTGGATTTATATGAGGCCTTTAATGTCACAGTGCTGACATAATTTTAACTTTCTTGCGTAAAAACAACGTTATATGTAGAAATATGTCGTATCACGGTTGTTAGTGAAATTGTCCAATTTCTTGTTATTCGAATGAGAAAATTCAAAAATTCTTCAATCGTGTGGAATTTTATTACAGAAAATCAGCTTATTAGCTGTTAGAAAACTTAAAAAAAAAACAATTTACGGCAAAAAAGTGCGAAAAAAGTAAGATGAACAAAAGTGACGGCTAGAGGATATCAAGTACCGATTGATAATTGCTCAAGACAACAACAAGAAGCAAACCAGAGCTGAACTGCATTTAACTTGTGAGTTTGTGAGTAAGTATTCAATAGTTTGAATTTAAATCCAAAACAACTACAGATTGGTCTAATCTAGTATCAAGCTTAGACGGGACAGTACAACAGTGCCGAACTACAACATTGCCGAAAATCAGAATGTTGTTCAGCAGTGCCGAATTTTTTTTGAATACTGTTGTAATTCGTCCTAAATCACTGACAAGTAATTATATTCAAATCGACGGAAGATGAAAAGATGAATTGGCCATCTTAATTGATGCTGCTTGTTAAACATTTAAAGTTCCCCAAGCGCGGCGTCATAATATTTTCTGAACAAGCAATCATCTCAGCAAATGGTGAAAATTTCTCAGTTTCGCGGCAAAGCAAAACAGTAGTCACGCAAAACGGAGCCGAATAGCCGAAAAAAAATTTTCCGGCTAGCCGAAAAATTAATTCGTTCCCGGATAGGCATTTTTTGGTCCCCGGATAGCCGTTGATTAATACAATAAACCATGTAACATATTACCATCTTAATATATAACCGACAAATATTAATAAAGACAATTTTTTTTCATTGACAACCCCCAGTCTTAAGGTGTTGTTTAGTTATTGTGTTTGAAAAAGTAGTAATCCCCCTGACCCCGCCCGCTCCACACCCCTGTTTGAAGAAGTGGTTAACTTTGTAGGGGGTTGGGGCTTGGGTGAGTTGAATTGAGGAGAGGGGAGGGGTGTATGAGATCGGTTGCATAAGTGCCGTGCAATTATAATCGGACAATGTTTTTGACAATTAATGATTTTTTTTTTTCATTTTTAAAGGGACAATTTTTAGTGGTTGATGATTTAAAGATGAGTTAAGTCCAATCATGGATGATATGTGTAATACTGTTTTGAATACTGTTTTCATTCGTCCTAAATCACTGACAAGTAATTATATTCAAATGGACGGAAGATGAAACGATGAATTGGCCATCTTAATTGATGAATTGACCACGAAAATTGATTATTATATAAAACACATTAACTTAGAAAAAAATTGTGCGTTAAAAAGTAGTAGGACTTTTGTTTTTAGGAAATTTGACGAGAGTAAACGTATTAGCTAATCAAATCTCCTAAAGATGTTCGGTATTTTGTTTGCTAACAAGCTGCTTAATTTGAGGAACTTTTTATCCATCAAAATGAGTCAGTTTATTGTCGAATTTTCTAATGAATTTAGTTAAGTGGAGGTATTTTTCGGCTATCCGGGAATGCTTGTCATCTGAATCATGTTTTGATGACAAATTTGCGTCAGTGTCCTGCAAATTGTTGAAAATGAAGTTTATTAGCAAGTAAAGATCTTCAATAAAACACTTAAGAAACTGAAAAGACTCAAAAAACATAAATGCAGCCGTGTTTTAGTGGAAAACCTTTTTGTAGTTCAATGTACTGATATCTAGATTTGCTGTTTTTGACTATTTTGTTTTTCTCAGGTTCAGTATCTGTGTACTGCTTAACCACATTTTTTATGGTAATTTAATTGCATGTGTTTTATCCGCATTATTAGTGACTGATGTGATGTCGACTGGTAGGTGCTATGGCGCAGCTGTGAAGACATCAGAACTTAACTATGGAGGCAAAGGGTTCGAATCTTGTGTGGGTATTTTCAATTTTTTTGCTTTTTGCTAAGTGCAGCTTTGCCTTAATCAAATAATTTGAAAAATAGGAATTATTTGGGATTTTTTCGGTTGTTTGTTGATTATACATACTGCATGTTAGCCAGTTTTAAGGTTTAACTGCTGAGTCGGCTCGAACCGTCGAAACCAGATTTCTAAAACCTTGTTAGGACTAATGTTTTGTAATTTGCATTTATTGAATTGCAATCGTCACCCAAACGAGCTAGTTTAACCAAACGAGCTAGCGAGCGTAGGGTCATATTTTGAATCCGATTTTTCCAACGCAAATTGTGCTCATTTTGGGGTGCTTTTGCTGCATACGTGGCTAGTGATCACGTGAATCCAAGCGACCGTGGCTCATTTCATGAGGTGATACTTAATATGCAGATTGGTACTTCGATTCCGTTATGAGCAAAAAAAAACTTTCAAGGCTTAATTTTACCTCTTCTTTCCTTATTTTGCTTGCATAGATTTTCAGAGCTACTTTTTGACATTTTTTAGCTTGTTAACGAAGTGCAGCTTCGCCTTTGTGTCAATTACGGAGCCGGTCAAATAATGCTACCGGAATTGTCAGAGAATGTTCGCGAAAACGGGCAATTTAATTAATTTCTAAGTCATTCGAGAGATAACACCTAAGCATACAGCTTTTTACAAATTAATTAAGCTGAATCAGCTATTTGCAGCAAGCAGACGACAATGCCTCAGCGACATTGAATGTTGTAGTTTTAAGTTATGCTTCATTTGCTTTGCGACGAAATAAAGCTAGCTCAGTCTTGTGTCGACGAAGTTTTGCCTGCAACGAGTTTTCGCCATGACCGATTTAGGTAATAGTGTTTCTTGTGGTTAGGCGACAGTTTCATTCTTCCTTTTGCAACCTCTTCGCTTGAAACCCGTTTATAAATTGAAGATAATCGAATGAATTTGTAAATTAGCTTTGAATGATTTGATGTTGATATGTTTTGTGTTTCTGGAATGCTCCACTTCAACTCCAGGAATGTTGTGTTATGTTAAAACGGCATTTTTCGCTGTGTAGAACTCACAGATTGGCTCAAATATACATTCCGTTTGATGATGAATTGGCGCATAAGACACATGTTCGCAAAAGGTTTGCGTGCCATATTTGATATACTAGTGAAATATTTTAAACACTATTGCAATTTTTGAAACAATAGTGCAACATTTTCCTAGGAAAATCAAGCAAAACTAACTAAGAGTTAAAAATCACGTGCTAGCGTGAAATTTTTAAATTTTGTGTTTTTTACATTTCCACCTGTTTCATACCAGATAGCAACCGCTTATATTGCATCTCGAAAATTGTTCCGATTTCGACACTGAGTGTCTTGTTTTGCTTACAAAATTTAGCGGTTGTATCTACGACATAATTGTCTCAAGGTTTTTTTATCGAACTCTTTTTTTACGTGTTACTTTGTACGTTACTGCAAAGCAAAAAAGGTTCTGCCCATAGTTTATATTGTGGCAAGTTAATTAAAAATGGAAGTTTTGCTGATTTATACAAAAATTACTTAAATAATTACAAAAAATAATAAGCTGCCAAGCAATTCTTTAATTGCCATTACATTTCAACAATTTTTGTGAATTGTTCCTAAACTGAGAGTCACTTGTTTATTTCACCAACTGGCCTCTTTTTTGAGCAAATTGAAGAGTAGTTTGTCGATGATTACTTTTTGTGGAAATGATGTTTTCTTCACGAAGGAAGTCATTGTTTAAAACTTTTTTCCAACTTTCATTGATGAATGGGTTTTTATCTATAGGGTAGGTCACGGTTTTTTCGGCAAATATCAAGTATATTTTAGTTCGAAGTAAACTTTAGCTCATATGAGCTTGTATGAAAATTGCGCAGGTAGCATCAATTGAACTCGAGTGAAAATAACTGTCTAGAATAAAAGCAAAAATAGTGGTGAATAATCTTTTTTAATTTTAAACTGGGGCTCTAATTCATGCGAAGCGCTCAAACGATGAAGCTCCTTTCACTGCTGTGTAAAAGTTAGCCAGCCATTTGAACCCACCTAACAAAAATATTCAGGTGGGTTTTCGGTAGCGAAGAATACATTTTCGTTTTCAATATCTTATTCATAGTAGTTTCAATTTTACCTTTTCCGTTCAGTGATGTTCAGATGAAACGGTTTTGAAAGAAACATATGTTCAATTTGAAGTGATTGGAATTCGTTAAGAACCAATTTGACTGTGTATCTCTTTTAGGAGAGAATCGATTGTTCGGGGCTCAGGATTGGAGCAGTAGTAATAAATCCTAGTTTCACTTGCTTTCAAGAACAAACCAAAAGTAACAAAAAAAACAAATATAGCACACGATTTGAAGTAAATTTTGCCTCGTTCATTTTTACAGGCATTTGAGTGCTTATAAAAGCAGCAAAATTTGCCAACGCAAAGCTTATGGCCATCTAATAGATTCTTTTAAAAGATATCATTTCAATTTATCATTAAATCTCTTCGAACAAAACTGTTAGAACTCAATTGCAAAAAATGTATAATTGGAGGCTAATAAACCAAGGGTACTAAAAGTCATCGTGACCCGTCAAAATCAGAAATCTTCACTCTACACGTCCACTTGACCTTTGACCCCGGGGAAGGGGAAGGAAGACTGCTGGAGCCCCGACCGGTCGAAAAGAGGGCGTAAGTATAAAAGAGAACTACCACCCATCACGAGAGGAGTAGAACTTTGCTATTCGGGAAATTATGACAAATGACTGACATAGCACCTGTGAAATACCATGATTAGCAGCTGAACCTGAACCCAATTAGCACCGAAAATAAAAACTTTGACATTTAGTATCGTGAAAGGGATTAATCAAGATCAATTAATATAACACGCCCTTCAATTTGATCGAAATATTATTAATTCGTTGAAACCAATGGATTATTTATCAAATATTATTTCAAATTAGGAGAGTTAATAAAATAATCAAGTGTTGCGATTTTTAAAAGTTTGCAACTTATATTGTTTTTCATGCATAAATATGTTCATATAGGAGTGTAGGAGTGGTTTGAATAGGGAAATAAGCGAGCCAGTTTTGTCAAATTTTGATTTTCAATTTAACAGTTTGTTTGAGGTCAAAGAGTCGGCCCTTATTTTCATGTCTAGTTGCAAATGGTTTGGTTATTTTTTTCTGTGATTTCAATTCGGTCAATCGATGTAAAAAATCTTTTGACGATTTTAAATCGAAGAATAGTAAATGGTCAATTATGTCATCACATGAAAGCTTTGGTGAATTTCTGACTGATTTCACGCGAAGGGTTATTGGCTTCAGGAAGAAATATGCGGTCAAACTTGGGGCCAAACTGAAATCAGGATAGTTTTACTGACCATAAGGAGTATTAATGGTTTGCAAACTTAATATTTTCAGCATAACTTCAAATTGCATCCATTAGATTTGCGAAATCATTTCAAAAAGCAAATGTCCATTTTGGTTGCCTTTTATCAATCTTTTTAGAAAGAAGTACAGAAAGTTTTTATTTTGTTACGTAAGAAAGTATTGCATCTGAACCTACCAATGCGTTTTTTAGCTTGAATTTCTGCCTGAATTTTAGTTTAAGTAAACGAAAGTTTTAGTAAACGAACGTTTTTATAATCTCCGAATCTGGTTCGCTTATCTCCACGCTCTTTCCGCCTCTGTGTATTAAGTGAAATATCGTCATAAATTAAAACGTAAACCACAATCAGAACTAACTGTTGGTATTTTAGATGAGAAACTGAAACCTAATAGATGTCGATTAAATAGTGATTCACTTCAGGTTACGCCGGTGGTCCTAGAGGAGGGGGAGGGTACTACAACTACCACCAGCCGCAGCCCAGAGGCGGAGCACCAGGTTACGGTAGTAAGTAGCTCCCGTTTAGTTCACTTCAGAATGATTTCCACAATCGCAAACAAAACGGGAGTCGGAATATGCAGTGCTGAAAATTAGTTCTAATGAAGTCATTAAAAATTAAAACGGGATAGATAAGGACAAATGTAGATGCGCTTCATGCGTTTAAAATGAACATTGTAATAATTGCGCCAAAATATCAACATATTTCATCGCTTAAGGAACATCTTTCCTGCTCATTTAGTGCGCGATGTAAAATATTACCGGCTCGGCATGGATAGTTGGGTTCTTGAAGAAAAACAACGTAATGGTAAAAATCCAATTCGCTTTAACAAATGAATTTATGACATCATGTTGACAAGATTCATTAATTTTTTTAAACGATTCAAGCTGATTTATAGGTCGTACAAAATAGGGCGAGCACAATTGTATACAGACCAATCGTTTTTAGAAAAGTTAATTTTAATGCTCATCCGCTTGAACTTTTTTTTTGTTGAAACGAAGGTTCTCAATAAAATTGTAGGGTGAAAAATTGTTCGGGTCACATGTCAGCAGCAAAAGTGCTTGGTCAGAACTACCATATATTCCTTAAATTGCGTTATACTAAACTGCAGATGCCATTCATGTGAATTAATCAAGCTAATTCTTCATTAGTGGTATTAGGTATACAGCGTTTTTGCTTTTGTTTAGGGTGGTGATACGATGATTTGGATCCCAGAATTGACGAATATATGAAAGAACGAAAGAAATTCAATTCTTTTTACTAATCTCCGAAAACTGAATGAATTTTTGTTTGAACAGTTTATTTACTATTCTTCTTAAAATATTACAGAATGCTGTTATTGTTGAAAGTGAAGAGGTTTTATGTCGCTCATGTAATGTGTAATTCATTTTTTTCATCAGTTTTTTTATTCGACGCCAAAATCAACAAGGATAGCCGGTCGCTGTGCATGCAGCATAGAATGTTACGACCACATTCATTAAACATTCAAAACTTTTATTTCCGATTTCTACAATTTAGTGTCATTTTTTGTGGGTGCAATGAAAGAACTCTACAATTTGGCATAAAAATAGCAATTTAGGTAAAGTTGACAATAGTTATCATCAAAAAAAAAGAAAAACAAACAAAAACATGAAAAAAATGTTCAATAAAATTAAATTTATTTTATCACAATCATTTTTGAAACTTCTTTTAGTTAACTTTGATTGCCAAGGAAGCGCTAAATGATGCGTCTTCAACTATTTTTTAGCTTAACTGACCAAATTCTATCGATTGATATATATACCTATGCTTTTCTCAATCTGAACACTAAAAATGAATTTTATTTCAAAAACAAATTGAAACTTATGTCAGCAAAATATACAAAAAATTGTATAGCACAATATATTCATTTGATCACGTGCTTGTCATTGCCAAATTTCAATAAACTTTGCGGCTTTTTTCTCTCGGTTTATGTTACCCATTTTTGTATAATAATGTGTTTTATATACCTTACGATTAACTCCTCCAGTAAAGCTTTGTTCATGAAGAAATAGAACTATTTTATTGTTCAGTTTTCTAATGTCTGTTGAAAATTATTCTCTTTGCTACAGCATTTAATATGCTTCTGTCGAATAAAATTACAGTTGTTTTGTGCTTTTAACCGGGTTTCGCAAAAACCAAGCTATTGGTTTTTTATAAATCCTATTAGCATTATGATCAATCAGAATATCTGAGCAACATCGTCTTTTAATGCTGCAACAAACTCAATAGTTTTTTTTTAAAATGGTCAAAGTTATTCCATTATGATAGGTATGGCATGATGATATATCTTCTAAACATCATGTTTCATTTGTGGTGAAATTTTGATAACAATCACACAAACAGTTAAATTGTTGGTTTTTTGCTCTTTTCTTCAATAAAAATGCGGGCCGGTGTGCTATCAAATCACTCCTAGAATAAAAACCTAGACTAAAATTATCCTTGTCTTCCCATAAGTTCATTTTCAATAGATGGCTAGAATTGAAACAGGTGCATCTTTTATCCAATAAAGACTCTCCTGATAAAAGATACTGAAATTTTTGGACAATACTAGCAAAACCTTTTATCAAAACAAGCATCATCTTACTGCAAACAACCTTTTTTCTCATAACCGATACAAGTATTATTCATTTTTTATACGCGATACACTAATTAACATTGTGTAGATGATTAAATTAAGTCAGGGTGCGTGGTTAGAATTATGAAATATTAAATTTGCTCAGCCTTTGCCTTATTAGAATTAAAACGTTTGCCAAAAGGGCTGTTTTGACATGCAATGTAGCGTATTTTTCACTAGCAATTCAGAATGATAAAAAAAGTTTTTTCTCGTTTTTCTTAGATTACCTTAGATTGCAATTTTCCTTACTACTCTTTGCTATTTAAATTCAGAAGAACTAAAACCGTTGAAAAACTAATGTTCCAATTGAGTTGTGCAATTCCATTTTAACAATGGTTGATTAAATGTTCCGACCACGCCCGCCTTTTGGTCCTAATTTATGCCAGCTATTTTTGACTGACCATAATCTCTAATTGAATTTTTTATGCGCCTTTAGCTTTACCAGTTCTGGGGGAAGCGCTCACCAAACAAAAACGACATTCTCATGACAAAAATTCTGTGGCACGACAATATTTTGATTCCAAAAAAGAGACTGCTCTAATGAAATGAAGCTCTGCTAAATAAATCCTCAACTAAAATGAAAGTCTAGTTTTTCGAACCAAATAGCTTTTTTCAAGCTTCGAATTCACACCTAATAAAATTCTCACCTCAAATTTTGTTCGATCCCAATTGTCGGTATCCGGGTGACCTTTTATTCAGCTATGAAGTCAAACTCCTTAGAAAGACTCCTATGAATTTTGTTATATTTGCATAATCAAGTGTTATAAAATCGAGGCCTTGTCTGCCATCTAAATAAATTGACTCACAGAACCGGTAACTTCCCAAATGGCATAATACCCAAATGGCATAAAAATGAATTTTTTCCCAGATGGCATAAATTTCAAGCTATCATTGTGATTCAAACGTTTTGTGTCAACTTCCAATTCTAACAATTCAAGGTAAAATGTCAATCATTATTTGAATTGACAACTTGACTAAATTTCTTCACATTGTTCACAAAAAATTTGTTCTCGATTTTTTCAATGCAACTGTTGCATGAAATTATGCCATTTGGGATTTTTTCATTTTTAAGCCATTTGGGAATTATGCCAATTGAGACATAATCACAGAGCATGTGACCGGTTTTTGAAACTAGTTTTTGATTTGAAAGCGATTTTGTCTAGGCAAATTTATTGTGCCGTGAAGAAAAATTTGATTTCACGAAAAGCTTTCGAGGGAAACCAGGGTGTAATTTAAGCAAAAAACCTAAACATTTTGTAAAAACGTGAACAAATGTAAAGCAAAAGTGAAAATGAGGAGTGAGGCAACAAAGTAACTAACACAATTTTAAAGTGATTATAAACATACAAAAATCATTATAATGGGTAATATGTCATTATATTTCAAAAATGGGGATCATGTTCCTCTCGATAACAAGTTTGACTAAAAGTTGAATTTATTAGCTTATATTTATAATGAATTTTTTTTTGCTCCAAAAGTTAGTAATATGATAACGCTTTTTTAATCAAATAAAATTTATTTGTTTTTCAGCTTGAGAGAGACAGACCATAAAAAGCTGAAATAACGAGTTAGTTAAAATCCTTAACACCCTTGTTCTGATGAATCAACATGAGATGGCTGTTTTTCTAATTACTTGTTGCTATTTATAGTTTGATCAAGCTTGAACAATAATTTTTAAAATTAAGTTGCTTACTATCATTTCAAGCACGATTGCTTAACTTTTTAATAACTTCGAATGTTTGAATAATATTTTAGGTTTAGCTGGATACTTTTATCTTTAAATTTTGTAGGAAGCATACATAAAATGGTGGTTATAACATCTGTTAGTTTTTTTTAACCAAGAATGGCTTTAAATATGTCTTTTCAAATTATTCAGATTGTTAATTGTTGATTGAATTTAACTATACAAAATCTACAAAACAAAAATTATATTTCAGATTTTAAAAATAGGACGAAGAAATTTGTTAGAATTCTTAGAATTATACCTGAAATTATGTTTCATATTGTTTTCTGAGGAACTTAGAATGATCTTTTTCTCAAAATTACACCACAAAAGGAACGCCCATCTTTATAGGGACGGGTAATTTTAAGGCCACCCACACTGCTTTGGGTAAGTTAACTTGTTGCACACAGCAACTAGTGAGTTTTTCATTTCTGACGAAAAATGCTTCATTTTTATTCACCATTTCTCATCCATAATCTTCCCCGGAATGTCTACGTAAAATGTGGATTCTGTTGAAATATTTCTTAATTTTTTTTAAACGAAATTTAAAAAAAAACAGGTTAATAAAAGTAAACCAGAAACAAAGTTTCAAATATATGGGAACCATCGCCCTTAAGTTAAATTAGGCTAAACAAAATTCAAACAAAATTCAAAGCTAAACAAAATTCAAAGCATTATACTGCTAATCAAAAAGTTGGAACAAAAATTGTTAACTTAAAAGCATAACGAATCCTTTAGACTTTTCGCAAACTGTTTATTTCAAATATTAAAAAAAATAAATAGTTTTTTTGCTCCAATATGATTTCCATCTTTCGACAGTAAAATTTAAAATCTAGAAGTTGGCCAGGACCTGTACATTTTGTTGATTAAGATTTTCTGCTATAAATAATTTAAATAAAGTCTATTTTCTTTTGCTTATTTGAATCAGTCCAATTTTGCCAACGCACAGTGGATACCGCAAACGCACAGCACGGTTTGGATAATTTTTATTTGTTCCGGCTTTCGAAGAAACTGAGGAATATACAGGCCTAGGGTGGTTTTTTTAAGAAATTTTAACTGCGTCTGGGCATTGAGCCGGAAATCTTGTGCTTGCCGAGCGAGTGTGTTTCATTCAATACAAGAACGATTTATGCGTGACACATAACAAACAATCCGCACTCATAATCAGTCCAAAATGCAATGAGGCAAGCTAATTGGTCTTATTAATTCTATTCACGACTCAATTTTAGCACTTTGAAAAGTTTAGTTTGTCAATATTTCTTGCACTAACAACTATTCCTATTCGAGACCAATTAATGGGCAATTGGAACACTCAAGGTTTTGCCCTGATATGAGCAGTCTTATTTTTTTATTTTTAGAAAATTATTTTTGTGCTATGGTTTAGATCCATCCTATTCGAACTCCATCTATCATTCTGATTGAGTATGTCAAGTGAGTTTTTGAGTTTTGGTGCGTTGCAAGCTAAATGTATCTTGATGCTTTGGAGAAATCTTGAAAGCCTTGATAGATTTTGCTACTTGATATGTGACTTGAAATTCGTCAGGTTGACCTTCACTAGCAATGCTTTCGTTTTGAAGACAGCGTTTAAATTCAAATTAGATTAATTTTGTTTTTAACCTTAAAGTTTTATACGAGATTCAAATAAACCTATTTTTATTCGAAGTTCAATCTCAGTACTTTGTTGCTTTCTTGTATTCATAGGTTCGTTTCCTACTGTCTGTTGGCTATTTTAAATAACGTAATCGTCGGGAGTTAAACATTTTTTTTAAGTCGGCAGTTAAGCACTTTTTGAACACATTTATTTTTCCAGTGGTAAAAGAGACAACACGTATAAAACTCAAAGCAAATTAAATTTCTCTTTAAACTAATTATGAAACCAAAAACGGCAAAACATTAAAGCCTTTGAGGCGTGAAAATTTCTTTGGTATAAAAGAGTTTGACAGACCAATGTTAAATAACAAAATTCCAGCTGCGAAATTAGAGTTTTGTTTTAATAGACTTTCAGAGTTTCTGTTATCCCTTGTTCAATTGTTTTTATTTAGAACCTTAAAATGGCTTGTCTCTGGATTTTGAATTTTTGGTTAAAGTTTGCATCTTCTCTATTTGCAGAATGATTTTGATACAATGGGGTGAGCATAACCCATTCCTAATCAAAAAGCTTTATGCCATCCTTCGACCGGAAAGATGGTTTTTGGATTTCCATTTTACGCATAGTTGAACTGATTCCAAATAGCTGATTTGAAATATGAACCTTTTCAAATTTTACCTAAATGTTCCCCCACCTACGTTTTTGAAATAATCGCCCATTTTTTCAAAATAATCGCCCATTCTTTTCAAATATTTATTCCGCCCAACAGGAGGTCCAATACAAACCATGTGTCAAACCATGTCTTGAAAACAGTGGCAATTTGAATCGAGCTTCACTGAAAAGTAGATTCAGATCTGCCCACTTTTTTTGTCAGTTAAATTAAAATTTGATAAAAAGTATCTGCTTAAAAATCTCTGACAGAATAATGCTAGCAGCGACAATCAAATGAGAGCAAGTTTCGACCGCAAGTTTAGAAAACACTTCAGTTTTTATTTCAATAAATTGGTTGAAACTTAAATTTAAAAAAAAAACAATTCTGTTCAAATTTGAAAAATTTTTTTAAAAACAATTGCTTTTCACTGCAAAAAAATGGAATTTTAGTGATGCTTACAAGCTTTTTGAGTGCAAACAACTTTGCTGTTAAAAAAGGAAGAATGTTAAGTAGACTAAACTAGTCCATTTTTTGACCATCCAGAAGGCAGCAAGTTTAAATTGTCATTAGATTGCTCTTTACTGTTTGCATTGAGAAGGGTGGAGATTTTTTTGTTTTTTACTTGGCCGAGAGGTTGATAAGTTGATGTCTTTCCACTTTAGGTCGGATCCAAAAAAGATTACAGATGTTGACTCAGAAATGTTGAAATCTTCAAAATAACGATTTGTTCTGCGAAGCTCTGAATGATCCGACTGTCCGATTTAAATCTTTGATGAAGAGTTCACTTTTTTTTAGAAAAAAATAGATTAATTTTCAAAAAGAATGATTTTTTTTCAGATTTTTTTGTTTTGTAAAAATCCTGCTCATACGCAATGTAAAACTTTCAGAGATATATTCAGCATATAGCAAAGTGTCAAATACATCAAATTTTATGCCTAAATTCAATTTGGAATGATTTACAAGCCGAATTCATTCTCCGCTTACGTGTTAATGGCACAAAAGATTTTGCGCATTAATTGTCTCAAATTCGCTAAACTGACAATATTTAAGCCTCCACAACTTTACGAAAATTGATCACAGGTGATATGTCTTCTTATTTTTGAGCTGAAGGATAACAATACCATTTGGCTATTTTTAAAAATGCCGTCAAAAATGGCTAGTTAAAATGTCGAAGTTTGTCTCATTGCCGAAAATGTCGAAAATAAACAACTCCGAGCACAAATAATTCGTCATTTTCCACGAAAGTTGGAAGAACAAGACAGTCGAGCAACTTGAGAAAAAAAGAAATTTGAACCAAGTCGTTGAGAGTTTTGGTGTGCAAGCTTCTAGAGAAAAAGTCGGGTTGAGCCAAGTCAAATTCATTTTGTGACGGTCGTTACAGTCAAAACATTCCATATTTTGGTTGCAAAAGTCGAAAAATAAATGGAATACCTTAAGGTTTTATAGGATGACTCATTTGCTTCGGAGAGTTTTAGAACATTGATTTTAAAGCATTGCCAGCCCTAAATTGTTAAATTTTATGGCTTATGCTTGCCTGGACTAAATTCAAGTTATACCCGCACTCAGTCAAAAGAGAAAATAATCGACAATATTACAATTATAATTAATATTTTTAACCAAATTATAATTAATTATAAGTGCCAAACTTAGATGTTTAAAAGATTTATAATCCATTATAATAATAACATTTTTCGTGACATAATAACAATTTATAATCAATTACAATTAATTATAATTTTTCCGAAAATCTCTTATAATATCTTAAGACCTCTTATAATCTGTTATAATAGATAATAATCTTTTTCTTTGCCAAAAATCTCTAACAATGAGATGTCTTGTCACACTTAGGTTCTTCTGAACACAAAGTTTTATCTTGAAACAAAAGTTTCATAGAGATTCCTTCATATTAGTTGAAAGGTTCCCGCGATAGGTGAAATACAACTCTTCCAAATAAACCTTGAAACTAAAGAAGTGTGCTGATGTTTTGGTGGTTAAGGATACTTAAAATGTGCATCAAGAAACAACTGTAATCAAGAAGAAATGAAAAAATAAAAACGTTATCAATTGATACGATTTGAAAACGGTTAAAAAATTACAAAACGGGAATCAAAAAGGATTATAAACAATTATAATAGATTATAATGGATTTTTTCTGCAAAACAAATGAATTAGAAATTCGGATAAAAATAATCAATTCTAATCATTTTTAATGTATTATAGCTGATTATATTTGATTTCAAAAAGAGAGATTTTATTAGATTTTTAATTGATTAAAATCAATTTTTCTCAATTTTAGTAGGACTGGTACTAAAGTCATATAAAAATCGACTATTAACTCCTGAAACTGGATGCAGGTAACCTTTGTCGACTTAATATTCTGGAAAATCAATACATCATACTTTGAATTCGTCAATGTAAAATCAAAAATGATGAGGAAACAAATATAGATTGAAGTTTAGTATTACTAAGAGCATAGTGCATGCAAATAAGGAAATCTTAACTAGTATTAAAATCTGAAAAACTATAATTAAATACCAGGTAGTTCTAAAAATTGCACATATTGCTTCGACTGCGGTGATTATCCAAAAGAAAGTGGCAAAGAAACTGAAAAGTGAGATAAATTATAGGCAACTTATAACGAACGTCTTTGCGACGTTCGGCGTTTTCTTATTTACATAACTGATATGAAAAACTATTATTTTTTTTTGAAAGTGTTTGTTTCTTATTTTAGCTGCGACGATAGTTCATTTCCACTTGGTGACAATGATCGGAATCAACCAAGTTCAAACTAGTTTAAACTCTACGAGATTTGTCACATTAACTTGAGAATTTAACCTGATTTTAATATATTAAGAAACTGTCAATAAACCAAAAGAAATCATTGAGCGCCAAAACAGGGAACTAAGGTTCAATGTCTTATTCAATTGAAAGGTAGGATGATGTTCGAGACCCACCATGATCCGTGCTCGTTGCTTGAGGGTGAAGCAACACTACCAAGCCCAGAAAAATAGCCAAAAAATTGCATTTAGATTTTAGCTAGGGGCACAACAGCGGTTATCCGTGAAGTGCTGAACGGTTCGTATGTTGGTTCTTTCCCTTGTGGATAAATCGTCTTAAAAACTATAAAAATACATTTCTATAAACTAATAGGTTGCACTCTGATATGGATATACTCTGATTTAAAGCATTCTAACAACTGATAATAAAATAAATACTGTCTAACTTCAGAGCAAAAAAACGCAGATAAAAATTCAAAAATATATGCTGTCAAGTTGCTGTTTTGATACAAAACAGTGTGGGTGTCCAACAAGTTTACAAATTTGCTGGAAAAGATATGACTGCAAATGATTAGACTTCAGCTGATCTGACTTCAATTGACCCCGTATGTGAACTTGTAAGATGGGAATCCAGTATCAGCTATGTCTGGAGAGTCTGCATGGCGATGGTGATGACCTCTGCTGATGCTGTTGACCTCTTGAAGTTGACTTCTTTCTTTCACTGTCTTCTTCCTTTTCTTGTTCAGCCCCCTCGCTCGTGAAAAGAAAGCGTAGGACCTTGAAAATATACGCTCAAATTTTCATTACCTATGGGTAATTGAAGCTAGATTAACACTTACCAGCTTAAAGCTAAGATAAAAACCTACCACCAACCGACCGACCCCCCCCCCCCCCCCCCCCCACAACCACTCCACCTCCCACTTCTTTTGAAAAATTTAATTCAAGTCTTTTTGTTACCTTTCCATTGCCAGTAGTACAGTACACAAAATGAAAGCAAGGGAGTAGTAGCTGCCACCTCTGATGTTTTTCACCTTCAGGATATGTCCATCCGGCCATCTGTAAGATATACTCATTGTGCTGAACAGACGCTCTTCTCGTAACATTGTAGAGGATACCTACAAACAAAAGCGTAGCGAGAGTAATTAACTTTTTTGCACCAGTCTCGATCAAGCTTAATTTTTTTGCACATAACTGAAATTCACATCGGTATAAGGTCCCCCTAAAGTTTTAAACGATAATTTCTCTTCTTACACACTGGAGCTAGAGTTCGTGCTTGACTCGTTGGAACTGTCTTGCGACGTATTGCTTGCGTATAAAAAATTTGATTTTGGTCCGAAAAAAAAGCATAATTTTGAAAACTCCGTTTTTTTGCACAATACTTTTTCAACGAGTTTTGGTACAGTTGTTGTTATGAAATTTAGACTTTGGCTCATTGGGTCTGCTGTATCTCTTTTTTCTTAAAATGGAAAAAAATTGAAACACGTGAGCAAAATTATATAGTTTTTGCCGAGTCGTAAAGCTTTTTAGATTTTGTTTTTACGAGGCAAGTGTTGGTTTTAGTTGCCGCGTATGTGAAATGTCAATTTGTATGTGAAATTTCAGAAAAAATAGAGACTAGGGGAAAGGGAAAATAGCAAAAGAAAAATATGTTTTCTTTTTTCACTTTTTTTACAATTTTTAAGCAAGAAATTTTTGTGCCACGGTGCAGTGTTATGACACATTTGTAACATGTCAGACTCTTTCAACGGATCAATTTAGTGCTCTAATGGACAAAAGCTCAATATCGATTCATTCAATGTTTTGTTATAATGGTCAGGTGTCGACATATTTTTCAGTGAAAACTCTCAGGAAGCAGAATAGTTTTCTCTTGTTTTTTTTACCAGAGTGACAATCTCGACGTCCTGCAGGTGTTCGTTCACGAGGGTCTCTTTACGTGTCATCTCGATTGAGGTCAGGGTCCCACTACCCACTGTGATGGGGATGATGCCACTCTGGTCCACAAGCAGAGTGTATGACCCCCTCGCACTCCCAATGCCCTCGTCGTAGTCCACTTCGTCACAGCTGTTTTTCGAAAAAAAAATAACTACAAAAACTGTTTTTTTTTCTAAAAATTTTATGATTTAACATTTATAGTTTATTTCATATAAAGCAAAAATAACCGGCTGCTGTGCAAGTAGCACAGCAGCATGTTGCAACCTGATTGAAGAAAAACTTTAAAAAAAAAACATTTTAAAAAACGAAAAAGAAAGTTTTTTTGTTTTAGACAGAAACGGCTACTAAAATAGGCAAACAGAAAAAACAAAGTCATAATTATTTGCCAATATATTGTTTAAAGTCCACTATAAAAAAGTCTGGAGGCCTGCTTTAATTCCTGTCTAATTTAGTATCTAATTTATTCTGAAAAAAAAACGAAAAATTTTGCCCAATTTTCAACTTTTTTTGAAAATCCCAATCACGAACAATATAGAATTTTGATATGATACCAATTTTGACACTTTTTGAGGTTTTCTCGTGGCAGTCAAAATAACTGGAATTTTTTTTTTGAAGTGTAGATAGTCGACTTGCAAAGATGTTACCATTACATTCAGCCCTTATATTGAAAATTAGACCATTGCAATCAAGTGATACCCTTAGAAAAAATACGCTAAAGGTAACAAGGTTCATCAGCGGAAACCACATGAGAGCTTTCTTTCCTCTGCTTTGGATTCCACTCATAAGAGTGCTAGTGCATCATAGACGATTGGTGCCCTTTGCCCTATTAATGCATGTGAGTTAATTCCATTAATTGTTATCCGACTAACATTTTCTGCCACTCGGCGCTGAAGTTGTCGAATGGTTTGGGTGTGATGTAGGTGAGATAGGAAATGAAGCTACTCGGGTTGATGCAGACTACCCTGTGAAGAAACCCATTCCGCCACTCTTTAGGACCCTCGAAGAACATGAAAGAGGCCCACACAGATTCCACTCGTTTGACCTTGAAACAGATAATTAAGTACATGAGAGAAACCCACTTAGATTCAACTCGTTTTTTATTGAATGTACTTTCATCGAGAGACTAAAATCTGTGACTACCTTGTCAATGATGATCCAATTTTGCTGGTCTTGGCTCTTCAGATAAGGAATGGCGAACACCGAGCAGTTCTGCAGAAGTTTAGGCTCCTGAAAAGTATAAAAGTCGCTCTCTTAATGATGATAACCAAAGTTATCGTTTTGCATATATTTGGGAGCATGTTTAGAAGCACATACTTTTGTGTTTTTCGGGTTTTTATCGCCGTTTGTTATTTACGAGGCTTAGCCGATCAATAATATCTGAGGAATTTTGTAGTAAAATGGGAACCCGTGTTGAGTTTACTTTGGAAATTAGCGATGAAAATAAAAAAAACAGCAATCGCTATAAATGATATTTACATTATTTTTCGATAGACTTTAATAAATCAGCAACATGCTGTAATAAGGCGGAATCATCCATAAAAATGTTCTTAAGACTTGGTTTAGATTTTTTCCATCGATGATTATTACTGGGAAGCTTGTTGTTATGATAATTATAGAACACACTGCTGATATTTGTGAAAACTTGGAACTACTTACTCTCGTGTCTCTTGAAAATCCCTGATGGCGCAGTGCAACTAGCTCAAATTCTTTGAAAGCGGCCAACACAATTGCTGAAATTAAACGTCTTAACACAGGCAAAAAGTTGTTTATAAGTAATTTGAACTTCCCCCAAACTGCACTTTTACCCAAATTTCAAAAAGCCTACTCGAACTGAAGACATGTTCGAGTTACTTTTGGGAGCCTTGTAAATCTAGTATATATTGGCGCCGAAGGCGCCTTTAGAAAAAAATTAGGGTCCATCAGCCAAAAAAAAAGAGACCTTAAAATAGTACAAAAGGGGCCCTTTGGGTCGGCAAGGTGTCGAATCCCTGAGAGGAAGAAGGAAGGAAGCGTCTGCCCTCCCCCTTCGCCCCTAAACTCGCTGGTTTGATCACATGAGAAATTTCAACGGCACACTAAATATGTTGAAAAACAAAAATTAGCTATATAAAGCTAATTTAATAAGTTTTCTAGCTAAAACATCCCATGTGCCATAGAGGGGTCCCATGAAACTAATTGGGTCCCCAATATAATTACAGTGACTCAAAAATTTATTGCCTCCATGTTGTCAATTAACAACAAGTTGGCTCAACAATTTTTTGAAAAAGTTTTGAAAACAAGCGATCGGCGTCTACTGTTTTACTTAAATGCTGCATTTTAAAAAAAAAAAACTACTGTGATGAAAGATCCTCTGGGTTTTAAAGGGACCTCTATATATCTTGATTGTACTTTTTTAGATTTTCTTATCCACTTTCCTCCTCAATTTCTCGCCAAAACTCTGTATCTGGTCAAAAATTGACTTCTAGTTCTTGTAATTTATGGAGACCCGAGCGAGCGCTTTTTATTGTGAAGTTTTTAAAAAGATGCATTTGAAAATACATTTCTATTTAAAGAGCATCATTCTCGGCAACGGGAGGATATATGACGAGGGAACGCATCTCAGAGGAAACCTGCACTCTTGATACTGTTTTGCGACAACCGTTATTGACCGATCAACCGTAATGCTTTAAATGTGTGTGTGTGTGTGTGTGTGTGTGTGTATGAGAGAGAGAGAGAGAGTGTGTATGTGTGCGTGTGCGTGTGCGTAAGTATGTGTGCATAATTGTTTTGAAGAGATCAAAACCGTACAAAAAGACCCCAAATAGCCATTTACGGCGGATTTTTTTCAAACTTTTCATTAAAAATAAAAGTTTGCTAGTTGCAAAAATTGAAGATCAAAACTAATCTGGATTTTGTGCTTCAAGTGATACTGACTTGTGTTGGGGTATTGTTCAATGTCGTGGTACTCTGTCACTGTTCCTATGATCTTCACATTTTCCAGAATGATCATAACCTGAAACAGAAAAATTAATCAGAAGTAATTAAATAGAAGTAATCGTTATGTGAGAAAAAAAGAATTGTTGATTAGTCGCTTAGACGACCAAGGTTTTATCAAAACAACTCAGTAAAGCTTAATTTTAACTGAAAGTCTAATGACAGGAAATCAATATGGCCAATCAACTTAGTTCAAAATCAGAAACTTGTTCATGCAAGAAAGAGTAAATTGACATAAGAATTGAATCATTCTGACATTTTTTGGTAGTACAAGACTTATCGTTAAAGCACCTCGGAATTCAAAATTCCTTATTACCTTTGGCGCTCGTAGCAACAGCCATGACAATTCGGCAAATGAAATTCAATGAAAACTTTCCATTGAGCCAGGTGTAGATGAGGCCTGGGACCCGTGCAAATCTTTTAGAACTTGAACAAATTTTGAAAAAAAAAACAGTTCATGATTTTATCGTCTTTTCAATTTTTTACTTGAGGTTATCAGCAGATTTAAGAAGGGCGGGGAGGGAGGGTGGGGCATTACGAGGCCAAACTGTGCATTCTATGCATTGTAAGCGGATTCCGCAACAGGCCAAAATTAGATTTGCCGCGGAATCCGCAACATTGCTTTTTTTCTTTGATCTTCTTTGCTGTTTCGGATTCCACAAACAAATATCTAAAGCACTGTACCGAACAGAACTCTAAAGCACTGTACCGAACAGAACAGAATTCAGAACAGTTTATGGAATCCACAAACAAATAAAAAGACATGTGTATAGTTGAATTGAGCTGTTGCGTAATCCGCAACTGTAAGCGGAGTCCGCAAATTGTAAAAGGAATCAAAAATTTAAAAGTGGAATCCGCAAATTGTAAGTTGAATCGGCATTTTGTTTGCGGATTCCGTTTACATAGATGTATGTGTAGTAGCGTTTAAAATTATATCTTTTAACTACTACATTGATCAACTACCATTTGAAATGCCAAACGTTCGATCTCAATTCCTGTCACACACCCAACTTCGACCTCAAATGCTGTCGAACATACCCAACTTAGATCTCAATTCCTGTCAGACATACGCAACTTCGATCTCGTCTCAATTCCTGTCAAACATACCCAACTTCGATCTCACTTCCTGCAAACACTTCGATCTCAATTCCTGTCACCAATCTCAATTCCTGCCAGCTGAACAAACATAAGTAAACTTATTTATCAAGCATTTCAAGCATTTCAATTAAAATAAAAACGTTTTAGTTTAGTCATTCTGAAAAATTTTCAAATTGCGAAGCCAGAACATAGTGAGGAGCCGTAACATTTTGAGGAGTTATTTTCGTGTTTTGAACTTAAAACTTAATTTTGCTGTAGGCCAAGTTCTGGTAATTTTAATCTATTACTAGTTTACTCAAATTAGTTTAACAGACCATTTAACCCCTGTGAACAAACCTAAAATTTTTCAGGAACAAACAGACAAAAAGTGTGCGCCTATCCAGTGCACAGTTTGCCCTCGTAATGGGCGGACGCCTAATTCTCTCAGGAATTCGACCCCCTGCCGACCCACGGGTCCCCCTTTGCACTAATCTGAGATATCCATTTTTGGTGATGGACTTAAAATTTTTCTATTAGTGCCTTTAGCGCCAATATTGAATTTATTCGGTTTTGTGTTTCCAAAATTATGATCTTAAAAGTGTGACATCCATCGATTTAGTTAACCAATGTTTTAAGATTTGTTCGTGGATTCCGCTGACAATGGTTAAATCCTTGCTTTTAAATTCCGCAACTGCATATGCAAGTTCAGTAATGAATCAATTTCTGAATCCACCATCAGTATGCGGAATCCGCTTACATTTGCGGATTTTGCTTACAAATTTCGCGGATTCCACTTACAATTTGCGAGATCCTCTTGCAGTTGCGGAATCCCAAACAACTAGCTATGTTTTTTTTGTTGCGGAATCCGCAACAATTTAAATGAGTCGACAAAATTTACATTACCAGTATATGTAGGCGGATTCAACGTAAATCTTGTAAGTGGAATCCACGTACATTTTGCAACATGTTCAAATACTTTTCTCTGGAATCCAGGAAAACAAAGACACAAAACTGTGCGCCTATCCAGTGCACAGTTTGGCCTCGTAATGCGCGGACGCCTTCTTCTCTCAGTAATTTGATCCCCTGCCGACCCTTGCACTATTCTGAGATATCCATTTTTGAAATCCAATTCCTGTCAAACACCCAGCTTCAGTATTTGGGATTGATGAAGTCCCAACTCGAATACTGATATAAATCGGCGATATGCTGTGCGTTGTATTTCTAAACACATTCAACTCAATGGCTCCAAATAATGAATTCAATCGGTGTAGTGTTTCCAAAACGGTGATCCGAAAAGTTGTTTGCTGGGATATGTATCCCAAATACTAAAGGATGACGTGCACCGACTTAGTTAACTAATGTTTGTGGATTCCGCTGATAATAATTAAGCCCTTGCTTTGAAATTCCACACTGCTAAAGATAAGAATTCCAGCTCTAGCATTTAATTTTTCATATGCAAGTACAGTAATAAACAAAACTTAAGGATTCCACTTACATTTGCGGATTCCACTTACACTTTGAGGAATCCACTTACAGTTGCGAAATCCAGAACAACTAGCTATTTTCGGTTGTTGCGGAATCTGCGACACAAAGAATGTGCCGACACAATGTACGTTACACTTATTTGTACGCGGAATCCACGGAAATTTTGTATTTGGAATCCACATACAATTTGGAACTTGTTTAAAGATTAGCTTCTGGAATCCAGGAACATACAGACACAAAATTGTGCGCCTATTCAGTGCACAGTTTGGCCTCGTTATGGACGGGCGCCTTCTTCTCTGAGGAATTCGACCCCCTGCCGACCCAAGGGTCCCCCTTTGCACTAATCTGAGATACCCATTTTTGGTGACGGACCTAAAATTTTTCTATTAGTGCCTTTAGCGCCAATATTGAATTTATTCGGTTTTGTGTTTCCAAAACTATGATCTTAAAAGTGTGACATCCATCGATTTAGTTAACCAATGTTTTAAGATTTGTTCGTGGATTCCGCTGACAATGGTTAAATCCTTGCTTTTAAATTCCGCAACTGCATATGCAAGTTCAGTAATGAATCAATTTCTGAATCCACCATCAGTATGCAGACTCCGCTTACATTTGCGGATTTTGCTTACAAATTTTGCTTTCAGTTTGTAGTTCAAATTAAGAGATTGATTTATTTTAGCACAAATACAGTGCTGATTTAAATTATCCGGACAAAACGAACAAAACTTGAATTTTCAAACGCGTTTTTCTCAAATTGGGTTAAGATTAGACAAAAAATGAAGAGAACAAAAGTTGCTTAGAATTTCACCAGAATTAATATGATGCCATTTTTTCTCCAAAATTCTCAACAAAAAATTTACCCCAAAAATGGGTCATTTTGGCTTTTTTCAATTAATCAAGAATTACGCTGAAACTACTTTGTTAATTGATAAGAAAATTATATCACAGGAAGCCTCTTACGCAGCTCAACAAAGTTTAAGAAGAGTTAAATCTTCAAAAACCAGTATAAGAGAAAAAGTTTTCACTTGATAGTTTAAACATTTTAAACATTTTTGCGCAAATTTTCAAGATTTAACTCTTCATAAACTTTGTTGAGCTGCGTAAGAGCCTTCCTATGATATAATTTTCTTATCAATTAACAAAGTAATTTCAGCGTAATTCTTGATTAATTGAAAAAAGCCAAAATGACCCATTTTTGGGGTAAATTTTTTGTTGAGAATTTCGGAGAAAAAATGGCATCATATTGATTCTGGTGAAATTCTAAGCAACTTTTGTTCTCTTCACTTTTTGTCTAAACTCAACCCAATTTGAGAAAAACGCGTTTGAAAATTCAAGTTTTGTTCGTTTTGTACGGATAATTTTAATCAGCACTGTATAGTACCTGGTCAAAAGCGATAGGAAAAAAATGCATGTTTTTTTGCAAGTTAAATTGAGTTTCAAAAAATCTAGAAAATTGTAGTTTCTCAAAAGAAAGAAGTGTCTGCAAGTCTTTGTTTTAAAATTTAACTTGCAATCGGAACTTTATGTCGAGTTGCATCTAATCAAACAAATTCAAAAAAAAAACAATCAACCATCAAACAATAAGGGATTTCTTAAGGAAATGGAGACAAATTATAAGAAATTAAAAAAGATGCAATAAACTTAATGCACTTCGCAACTTCTTTGCCTTCATATAAAAACTAAAAAAATATCGCATATGAATGTACTATTAATTCGCTTTCTATGAAAAAAAATTTGAATCGAAACCAAGGTTAACAAGTATAAAGTTTTTTCTTATTTTGAAGAATAAAAAACAATTCTTATCAATAAAAAATTTTGATCAATTAAAAACAAATTTTTTCGCATCAAATGGTAACAGTTCGAATTCACTCAAAAACTTCCAGAAGTTGACACACTGTAAAACTGGTGATTCTACTGTATTACATGCTATAGTAACCTGAGCGTAAGATTGATTCGTCATTAAGTTAAGTAGTACAGCAAACAAAGGGTAAAGTTCGAAATAGTTCAATCTTCAAAGATATAGTCCCTCTTATGGCCAAAAACTCAGGTGAAGTAAAATCGGCGGACCCACCCCCTTAAATGGGAACTACAGTGGCTATGTTTATGAAACTCATAGGACGGATACTAGAGATGATTTGAACCGGGCATGCAAAATCCATAACCCCCGGACCCCCCGGCGCCAAGTGATAACGGTCCCCAGATGTGTAAATGGCCCTTTTAGAACTTGGTAATTAGCGGTTGGAATGGAACAGAAATATAGTATGTTATAGACCTAGTTGAGAAAAGTTTAAATTCAGAAACCCAGACCCCTCAGACCCCCACTTCCGGTTTTATGCCCTATGCAAATAGACCCCCCCTCCCGACTTCCGGGAGTCGTTTCTCGGCCACCGATGAACGCAGGGAGCTGAAATTTGGAGGGATGATAAGCAATTGGAAAAACACCCCCTTAGACCGGAA